CTGCACTCCAGCCTGGGTGACATAGAAAGACCCTGTCTCAGAAACAGAAAAAAGAAAAAAAAAATGGCCAGGTGTGGTGGCCCATGCCTGTAATCCCAGCACTTTGGAAGAGTGAGGCAGGCAGATCGCTTGAGGTCAGGAGTTCGAGACCAGCCTGGCCAACATAGTGAAACCCTGTCTCTACTAAAAATACAAAATTAGCTGGGTGTGGTGGCACACAGCTGTAGTTCCAGCCACTCGGGAGGCTGAGGCAGAAGAATTGTTTGAACCCGGGAGGTGGAGGTTGCAGTGAGCTGAGATCGCACCACTGCACTCCAGCCTGGGTGGCAGAAAAGAAAAGAAAATTGAAAAAAAGCCTAGGTAGCGCCAGAGGCTTCAAGGGAAGGAGCTCACCCCATGCCAGGATATGCAGAGGCAGAGACGTATTCAGGCCAAACTTTCCTTCACTAACATCTGCACCCTCAGCAACTTGTCTCCCAGACGCCTGGATACATTCCACTCCCCATAAGAAGTCATAGTCTGGGAGCTGCTCCTCTTTTCATCCTCCCTGGTCTCTCAGGAATGCTTTCATTAACATATATTATGCCATCTTCCTGCACTGCAATGACTGTGGGTTTCCTCTTCCACATCTCTTTCCCTATATCATACGCACCCTAGCTTGTGAGCTCCCTGAAGGGAAGAAGCATGCCTGAGTCTCTTTTGTGTTCCTAGCACCTGGCATATATGTTTAATGGGTGAGTAAACAAATGAACAACTGAGTGAATGCTGCTTCTTCCCCATAGACACATTTTACACACTTCCTGTGTCCTCATGTTCAGTTATCTCTCCTGGCCCTCTTCTTCTCACACACATCACACTCATACTCCTGACCTTGACACTCTGAAATCCCAGAGTTATATGCTGGGGCTTGGTTTCCTTACCTATCACCTATCTGTGGCTGATCTAGGGAAGTCCCAGCCGTCCCCTGAGAGTCTGAAAGAGACGGCTCTTGACTCTCATAAAGTCATATTAACTGGGTCCCATCGGGGGCAGAAAGGGGCTTCCCCGGGAAGAAGTTGGCTATTGGGAGGGTAGCAGGATCCTGCACTAACCTGAGGTCTGCTGCCCCAAATTGACCACATCCTCCTGCGTCTGCTGTCCTTACTCCTGACCAGTGAGGCTGTCCCAAGGTAGGGGGTGGTTGTGGCCTCTGTCTCAAGGCTGGCTGGCAGACACAGCCAGATTTAGAAGTCATTTTCGCAGCAGGGAGCCTCCAGTGTCCCACCCACAGAGCCCTGGAGGGTCAGTCTGAGATATGGCTCACCAGGGGCTGGCCCCTAGACCTGGAGTCACTCCTCCCCTTCTTGTCTCTCTCCTTTTTTCCCCAGAATTTTGGCAGCTGGTGCTGACTCTATCCTTAGGCAAAGATGGAGTAAGTTCTGGGGAAAGGGGTGTGCTGCACTGACACCATAACCGCTCAAGCACTGCCAGGGCACCATTTACCCATTAAAAGGGCTGTCTGTACCCACCCCAGGATTCCTCCCTCCTCTCCACTGGCATCTGCTGCCTGATTCTCCTCCTCCCCTACTTTTTTTTTTTTTTGAGACAGAGTCTTGCTCCGTCGCCCAGGCTGGAGAGCAGTGGTACGATCTTGGCTCTCTGTAAACTCTGCCTCCCAGATTCAAGCAATTCTCCTGCCTCAGCCTCCCGAGTAGCTGGGATTACAGGCGCGTATCACCACACCCAGCTAATTTTTGTATTTTTAGCAGAGATGGGGTTTCACCATGTTGGTCAGGCTGGTCTCGAACTCCTGACTTCGTGATCCACCCACCTTAGCCTCCCAAAGTGCTGGGATTACAGGTGTGAGCCACCCCGCAATTTTTTTTTAAAGACGGAGTCTTGCTCTGTCGCCAAGGCTGGAGTGCAGTGGCATGACCTCGGCTCACTGCACCCACTGCCTCCTGGGTTCAAGCAATTCTCCTACCTCAGCCTCCCGAGTAGCTGGGACTACAGGCATGCGCCACTACACCTGGTTAATTTTTGTATTTTTAGTAGAGATGGGGTTTCACCGTATTGGCCAGGCTGGTCTCAAACTCCTGACATCATGATCCACTGGCTTTGGCCTCCCAAAGTGCTGGGATTACAGGTATGAGCCACCCTACCTGGCCATCCTCCCCTACTTCTAATTCTCTCTGTCCCATCCTCCTGTTCTCATACCCCAACACTAATAAAATAGCCCTAGAGAGAAATAATAATCAGAGCTAACAGTCAATCACCTACTATGTACCAGGTATTGTTCTTTCTTTTATTTTATGTTTTTTCTTTTTAATTAAAAAAATTTAAAAAAAAAACAAAAACAAAAACAAAAAACAGAGAGACAGGGTCTTGCTATGTTGCCCAGGCTGGTCTTGAACTCCTGGGCTCAAGCAATCCTCCCACCCCAACCTCCCAAAATGCTGGTATTACAGGGGTGAGCTACTGTGCCTGGCCAACTGTTCCAAGTGTTTTACATATTGAATTATTTACTCCTCCCAACAACTCTAAGAGAAAAGCACATTGTTTACTTATTTATTTATTTATTTATTTATTTATTTATTTATTTTTAGAGACAGAGTCTTGCTCTGTTGCCCAGGCTGGAGTGCAGTGGTGCAATCATAGCTCACTGCATCCTCAAACCCCTGGGCTCAAGCAATTCTCCCACTTCAGCCTCCTGAGCAGCTGGGACTACAGGAGAGTGCCACCACATGCAGCTAATGAAAAGCACTTTTAACAACCTCAGTTTATAACTGAGGACACCAAGGCACAGAGAGGTTGAGTAACTTGCCCAAGGTCACATAGCTAGTATGGGGTAGAAGCTCCAGAAACCACATTCTAAACACATTAGTCAAGTTGTTCGACTATGTTAGCAGTGTGGGTGAGATTTCAGAAACTTGCTTCCTGTGTGTTCATCCTCAAAGGGGCTCAGGCAGCATGGTAAAGCCCACCCTCATAGGGCCAGCCCTTCCAAGGTTGCATACAGCTCACCTCCTCTTCCAGTCCCAGAGCCCTAGAGCCCTTTGGTTATAGAAAAATCTAGGCAGATGCTTTCATCACTGCCCTGGTCTTTCCCAACTTTCTTTGGTGTTTTTTTTTTTTGTTCTGTTTTGTTTTTTTGTTGTTGTTGTTGTTTTTCTTTTTTGTGTGTGTTATTGTTTTTTAAGACAGAGTCTTATTCTGTCACCCAGGCTAGAGTGCAGTGGTGCAATCTCGGCTTGCTGCAACCTTCGCTTCCCAGGTTCAAGTGATTCTTGTGCCTCAACCTCCCCCATAGCTGGGATCACAGGCATGCACTACTATACCCGGCTAATTTTTGTATTTTTCATAGAGGTAGGGTTGGACCATGTTGGCCAGGCTGGTCCTGGTCTCAGGTGATCTGTTCATCTTAGCCTCCGAAAGTGCTGGGATTACAGGTGTGAGCCACCACACACCGCCCTTCCTCAACTTTCCTCCTCGCTCGAAGTCCAGCCTCTTCCCAAGCCTGGAGGCCCAAGGCACATTACTCCTCAGCTGGACCAGGCTTACCCCAGTCTGGCCTCAGTTTTCACTCTTGCCTTATCTTCCACAACTGCCATAAATGTACTCGCAACTGCAGGCAAATCAGACCATTGAGCAATTTCCTAAACATACCCTGCTTACCTGCATCCATGCCTCTATTTTGGCTGATCCCTCTACTTGAAATGCCTCTTCACCAAATTCTAACGCTGAGGTCATCTCCTCCATGGAGCCTTCCCTTATCTCACAAAATCCATACAATCTCCCTTGTTTGACTCATTGTAATACTTAACACATTGCTCACCTTCACCCCATTGTCAGAAAGGCCTTACTCATCCCTATCCTGGAATCCCACACAGTTTCTTGTTCCCAGTAGGTGCTCAGTACATGCTCAGTAGTTAGAATTGGTAGTAGGTAGATAGAATTGTAAGTGAAAGGGAGACAGATCTCAATAACCGTTGTTTGTTTTTTTGAGTAGATAGAATTGTAGGTGAAAGGGAGACAGATCTCAATAACCTTTGTTTGTTTGTTTTTTTGAGATGTGGTCTGGCTGTGTTGCCCAGGCCGGAGTGCAGAGGCCCAATCTTGGCTGATTGCAACCTCCTCCTCCCAGGTTCCAGTGATTCAGCGATTCTCGTGCCTTAGCCTCCTGAGTGGCTAGAATTACAGGTGCGTGCCACCACACCTGGCTAATTTTTGTATATTTGGTAGAGACGGAGTTTCACCATATTGGAGGCTGGTCTGGAATTCCTGACCTCAAGGGCAGATCTCAGTAACCTTTGATCTCTGCCCAAGGTGACACTCCTCCAGCAAGAGCTAACTTGAAACCTGGTGGTGTGGGTTCCAGGAAGGCTCTGCGATGAATCTTCCTGGACAGCTCTGACCAGTGTCTTCCCTCCGGTTCAGAAACCCAAAGAGGAGACCTTCCTCCACTGAACCAAGGCCAGCGGCCCAGCTCCTGCCAGATGGTGGCCACCCCCCACCCCAGGTGGTCCTGCGCCACTCCGAGTTCTGCTCAGAGTACCCCTGGTTGCAGGCGGGAGTGATGTTGAGATAATTGGAGACTAAAACCATAAGTGGTTTGAGAGCGGGGTTGGGGACCTGAACGCTGAGCGGGAGTTGGAGTTGGCAGGTCTGGGTTGGAATGGGAGCAGAGGTGGGCCGGGGGCCGGGGCAGGACCCGGCGACTGAGTCTGGGAGAAGCCCCCGGGCCCGCGGAGACGGCAGCTAAATTTACCCCGGCTGACTCAGCCCTTGCTCGGAATGGGGGGCCGGGGGAGGGCGCCAGGGCAGTAGGAAGAGCCAACAGGGGTGGGCTGGGGGCAAGGAAGGGAGAGTCCCGGCTGGGGGAGAAAAGAGGTGGGTCAGGAACTCCCAACGAAGAAAGCAGCCCCCTCTCCGTCACACAGAGCAGGACGTAGCAGAGGAGTCCCGGGGGATGGCCACCATGGGGAAAGGGTCAGTGAAAGGAAGACGATGCCAAGGCTGGATAAAGGGAAGCTTAGATTTATTGAGCGCCTACTGTGTGCCAGGCGGTGTGCAAGGCGCTTTACATACATTATCGCATTAAGTCCTCACAACAACCCTGCGAGGTAGGTGTTTATAAACCCCCATTTGACAGATGAGGAAACTGAGGCTCAGGGAGGTGAAGTGATGCGGCCAAGTTCACATGGCTAATAAATGGCAGACAGAGGTGTCCAAGGATCGGAGAGAAAAAAAAAAGACTTCGGTGTCTGAGTCCCAAGCCGGCTGGGGTGGATGAGTATAAAGATGGGACCGGCGGGCTCCAGAAGTCTGGGAGGCCGGAGGCCTGCTCCCGGCCCAGCACGGCTGGAGACTGCAAGGCTGGGGACCCGCGCTTGGGAACTAGGGATCGGATTGAGTGGCAGAGCCGGAATTAGCAACTGGGGAGATCCGCGACCTGCGCGCGCCCTGTAGTGGCTATAGAGAGTATCACACCCCACGCCGACTGGCTTCTGGGGACCGGCCTCTTTCCTTGCCTGGCCAGTTTCTTCGGAAGAGGCCGAGATGGGAGACATTCTCAGGATTTTTTCAGGTGGGCGATACCACCTGGGAGGGAAATCGTGGCCACGCCTCAGAGCATCACTAAGGAGCATTAGGGTGGAGGAAAAGGGGAAGGCCTAAAGAGGTCCCAAGCTGATTCATTGGTGTCCTTCCCTCCCCAGCTCAGACCACCACAGGCCAGGGTCAGTGACAGGGCCATTATCTTGCCCTGCTTTGGGGAGCCCTCACCTAAACCTGGGAGACTGGGATAGGAGTGCCTCACTCCCTTACCTCTTCTGCAAACCTTGGGCAGTCTCCTGAATTGATCATGACTTCAGGTGACAAAGAGGCCGCCCAGAAACCCTCAAACTCTGTTCACTTATTCCCAACTCTCATTCTTGGCTTGTCCAGGGGAGGATTAGATAGAGTCCTTTCCAAAGATCTCAAAATGTCAGAGATGGAAGGATGGACCTTAGAATACCATTGTTTTATATACCAGGAGGCCTGGAGAGGGAAAGTGACAGGCCTCAGTCAACCAGCAAGTCAGTGGCAGAGTTGGGATTGAAATCCAAGACTTGTGACACCAAGGTGAGCCCTCCTTCTGCTTTGCTGGTTGTTGCTGGACCTATTCCTCTTCTGCCAAGAACCCCTCTGTCATCTGATCACTCTGCCACCGGGTCCAAAGCCTCTCCTTCACTTTTTCCCTCCTCCTCAGAGGCCCTGCCCTACACTGCCCTCCTATGGCTGCCACCAACCCTGCCCTCCTGCCTGATCCTTGTTAGGCCTCTCTGCTCAGCTCCGCACCCAGTGCATCAGCTGCGAAGAGCTCATCCTTGTGTCCTGAACATAACAGACATTAATTAAATCTACTGCTGATTCTCACCTCTCCTGAAACAAAATCATTAATGGGCATATGCTTCCCTTCCTTTCATTTATATTTCAAGGATGGGAATAGGTATGGGTAAGGATACAAGGAAAAGAGAAGCAAAGGAAGTCTGGGGAAGAATGGGGACCAGTGGACCCAAGGATGGATGTGTTGGGGACTCAAATACAAGAAGGGGCCTCTCACTGCCTCTTCCTATTTCCCTGTTGAGTCCCCCTGATGTCCCTCACCCCGAAGAGGACCTCCTCGGTTTGGCTTATGACATCTAGGATCTCTCCGACACTGTCGCTCAGTTCCGCTGTCTTCCCATCTTCCTCCGGCGAACTGTTTCCAACCCCGGGCAGGGTCCTCTCATTCCGCCAGGAGGCGCCTGGGGCTTCTGTGTCGCTTCCATCAGAGGAGCCGCTATGGACGCTAAGCTCCTCAGCTTCGTCCGTGTCCGAGTCAGGGGCGGTGTGGCGGCGGATACGGGACACGGCTTCTCTCAGGGCCCCGGCGTAGGGCCCTGGGGTCCGCGCCCAGCCCCGGCCCGCGCGCCGCTGGACCACCGCCACTTCCGAGCCCTCGGCCCTGCCCTGGGCTCCCGAAGCTCCTGGGCCTAAGGCTTGGTGCTCTGGGCTACCTGGCTGCGTGGGGGCGTCCCGCAGGTTTACTTCCGGGGCCGGGAGCCCCAAGATGCGGGAGGTGCGCTCCTCCAGTGAGGAGTCCCCCGGCCTCCCGCCCTCAGCTTCGCCCCCGCGGCCCCCGCCGGGCTGGTGTAAAAGGCGACTGTTCGACAGCCGCTTTCGGCAAGGGGAAGGAAAGACCGTGGCCCCTTCACTCTCCTCCTTGCCGGGCTTCGATTGGCTGGCGGATTCCCCCACCACGCGTGTCACCCCAGAGGGCAAAAGCTGCACCTGCTGGGTTCGGGGGGTTGGAACATATTGGGATCGTATCACCACGCACGTGGCGTCAATGACAAAGACTCCTTCCCCACGGGACGGGCCCTGGGAACTGCGGGGCAAGGTGTGGGCACGGCGGGTCGCCTTCCAACCCTCCAGGGTCTCCGATCCTGCCCCCTCTCCAAGACCCAGGGATTCTCTCCATCCGGTGCCTCCGGGAGCCCAGGGTCTGGGGAGTGTCTGGCTATGGCGGGGCGGCTGCTTTTTAGGGGAGGGAATCCAGCATTTAGGGAACCAGATCTGTTCTTTTCCTTCTTTCCCTTCCCTCGAGCCCTTGAGGTGGTGCCTGGATCTGGGAGCGGGACGCGGGGCACTGGGAGCCGCAGTTGCAGACCCCGCAGGAGTTGTCTCGGTGCCTGCGCTCCCTGTAGCTTTGGCTTGGGGATGGCTGTCGCTACCACTGTTCAAGTCAGCAGCAGCCAGCCCCAGGCTTTTCTCCACGACCCCCTTGCCGGGCTCTGGCCTTGCTCTGGCCGCTCCACAGCCTGGGGATCCCCCCAAGAGACCTTGCCCCTGTCGGAGACCCCAAGCCCCGAGGACGTCCCGGTAGATCCGAGGATCCAGCCTCTTCTTTGTGCGCCCTCCCTCTGTCCTGGCCGGAGTCGGAGGTGGGGCTGATGAAGTGGGCACCTGGGAGTGTCCGGGGCCTCTCTTAGTCCCCAAGGTCCTATGGGGGCCTTCGTAAGAAGGTGGAGCCACGTAGGGTGGCGGCCGGTCCCAGCGGCGTCGCGGGGCGGTCCCGGCAGAACCTCTCAGCAGCAGGTGAGCTTCGTAGCTTGGGGGCCCCGGCCGCCGACCTCCCCAGGGCCCCGCCCACGCCGACCCTGGGTCGCTCTGCGGCTGCGCGGATGGACGGGGCGCTCGCCCCACCAGCGCCAGGCGCTCCGGCCGCAAGGTAGCAGGGAGCCCTGCCGGCTGGGCTGCCCGAGGGGCGTTGCGGGGCTCCGGGCGGGGCCGACCCGGGGGGCTTCGTCGGGCCCCACCAGCCTTGCGCCTTTTTCGCTCGGTCTCCTTGGCCTCCCGCTCCTGCGACGCCGCTTTCCTTTTCTCTTGCTCCCGAGCTCGGACCTCGGCCAGGGGCCCCGCCCGCCAGTTGGTCGCCTCCTGCAGCACCCTGGAGGCCCAGGGCCGGCGGGGCGGCGGCTGTGGGGATCCCGGGCGCGGCCCACACCTGGGACAATGAGCAGGAACCCAGGTGAGCAGTCTGTGGGGGAAGGGAGCCGAGGTCCGGGGAGCTGGGAGCAGTGGAGACCACTTGGGGCAGCCATGTGAAGGGGTGTGTGTGAGTGTGTGCGCGTGTGCACGTGCGTATATGTTAGGACTGAAGTCGAAGCGGGACTCCTCGCCATCTCTGCCTGCACACTTTAACAGCGTCTGCCCCATCTCACCTCCTGCCCTTTCTCACACCCACTCCTGTTCCCCCAAACAACCGGATGAGTCAGGCCCCAGCCTTCGGGAGCGGGCAGGGGTGGGAGGCGTGGGAAAGAGAAGGGGGATCAGTAGTGCTCGCTGGTGCCTGCGGGGAGGTCCGGACCCCACTCCCCGCCCCACCACTCTCTTCCCCTCACCCCTGCTTCACTCACGTGCGGTTCTGGAACCCGCGAGCCCAGTGGCTGGCCTGGAAGTCCATGGGCTGTCGAGAAGGGGCGCGGCGACTATAATGACAGGAAATAGTCTTCACTTCTATCACCAATAGCTTGGACTTCTGCACCCAGAGGCAGCTGCCAGACTCCTCATCCTGGAGCTCCCGGGGGCTGTCAGGCCCCTCGGAGAACAGTGGGCCATCCAGCATCCTGCCCCACCCCACCCC